GCCGGGGGAGGACCCGAACAGTCCCACCCAGGTGGTAGGGAAGAAAACCAAGTCCGCACCCACGTGGGCAGGATGGGACCCGTCCGCAGGAGGGGCTGGTCAGCCCGGAGGGGCCCCGGTGAAGCAGCCAAGTCCCGGGGCTGAGCGCCTGCAGGGCGTCGCCGCTGCCCAGCGGTGCGCTCCCGGATTTCACCGGCGTCCTGCCTCCCCCGGGCGGGGGGGGGGGGCGCCTGGATTCTTCTTGGTGACCGCCGCGGGAAGGGGGGGTTCTCTGGGTGCTAGGGGGCTTCATCTCAAGCACTCAGAGATGGTAAGCTTGCAGCGCGCTGCTAGCTCCCCACCCAGGTGTGCCCGCCCAGGTGTGCCCGCCTGAACAAGCATTTCAGATGATTTTCCTGTCTAGATAAATTTAGGACATTGTTTTGTTTTTAAACATAGAGGTCATCTTTATTAGAAAATTCTGTTCTAAAGATGGGCATCGGGAGCAAACAGAGGAGACTCTCTGAAAAGTAACTAAAGCAAACTGGGGATGGGGGTATGGCTCAAGTGATAGAGTGCCTGCCTAGCAAACCCTCCCTGAAACACACACACACATACACACACTTCTGTTCTAATAGGGTTTTGGATAGGTGGACTAAATTAGGTTAACGAGCTCAAGTTAACTCTGCAGGGGTAGCAAGGGGAATGAGAAAGGAGGAGGCAATTCCCAAATTCAGGACTTGTGGTTGTGTGGTGGGAGATAAAGAGAAAAACCCAGTGGGCTGGGTGAGGCCAGAGACTGGACACCTGGGCCCCTGGAGGCAGGGGCTCCCCACAGCAGCCAGGGGTCAAAGAGCAGGACAGTCACAGCACGTCTGCTCTGAGGCTGGGCCGGGATTGGGTCTCTGGGCCAACACCCCAGGAAGCTGATATCTCATCCAATTCTAAGAATCAATGATGCTCTGGGGACAGACATAGGACATGTGCTGAAGGGCTGTGGGTTTGTGCCACTAATACTCGACACCAAAACCTAAACAGTCCAGGGGGCTGCAAACAGATTCCAGACCCTGGATCCCATGCTTCCTCCTGCCCAGCCCAGGAAAGCATGGCATCTCATGGGTGTGGCCCGCTGATAAGGGCACATCACTGCGGAACCCCTTCACTTCTCTCCTTGGAAGGAGCTTGCTTGCCTTCCTTCCTTCTCTTTCTTGCTTTTTCTTTCTTTCTGCCAGTTATGGGCTTGAACTCAGGGCCTGGGCACTGTCCCTGAGCTTCTTTTTGCTTAAGGCTAGCACTCTATCACTTGAGCCACAGCACCACTTCTGGCTTTTTCTGCGTAGGTGGTACTGAGGAATCGAACCCAGTGTATCGTGCATGCTAGGCAAGCACTCTACCACTAAGCCACCTTCCCAGCCCTCTATCTTTCTTTCTTCCTTTTTGGTGATGCTTCAGTTTGAACCCAGGACCCTGTGTACATTAAACATGTTACACACCAATTCTATTTCCTCACCCCAAACCTCTCCTTATTTAGACCTTGCTGGCCTCAAAACTTTGAGCTTCTTTTTTTTTTTGGTCCGGTCGTGGGGCCTGAACTCTGGGCCTGGGCGCTGTCCCTCAGCTCTTCAGCTCAAGGCTAGCGCTCTATCACCTGAGCCACAGTGCCACTTCCAGTTTTTTCTTTTTTGCTTATGTGGTGCTGAGGAATCGAACCCAGGGCCTCATGCTTACAAGGCTAGCACTCTACCACTGGAGCCACAGCGCCACTTCCGGCTTTTTCTGTTTATGTGGTGCTGAGGAATCGAACCCAGGGCCTCATGCTTGCAAGGCATGCACTCTACCGCTGAGCCACCTTCCCAGCCCTCTTGCCTGTACCTCTTAAATGCCATAATTACAGCCATGTACCACCATGCTGGACTCTTTAGCTTTCAAGTCTCAACGGCACAGGTTCACAATGAGACTTGAAAAAAATGAGGTCACTGCAGGAGGGCACTAGGGAACAGGCGCGGTATGAGAACTGGCCCATAATGGGGAAGAACTGAGCATTTTCCTGCACTCCCATATAAAGTGCAACCCTGGATAATTATGAGGAAAAGTTCCTGTTGGTAGGAAACTCCCAGTAAGTGAAGGCCTGAGAATTCCATTACCTGGCTTTTGCGAGGTGTGGGGACTGAAGTGCCCGGGGGGCATCACTGGCCAGCAGGCGAGCACCGCACCCCAGGCCTGATGGAGCCACACACCTCCCCCAGCTGGAAAGAGAGACATGGAAACTGGATTCTCATCAAGCTCTCTACGCTGAGCTGCAGCCTCAGCTTGCTTCTCCCTTGAGGCCTCTTTCTCATTGTTTTGTGCCCTTCCTGGGGTTTAAACTCAGGGTCTGAGTACTGTCCCTGAGCTTTTTTTGCTCAAGGCTAAGCACTCTACCACATGAGCCACAGCGCCACTTCTGCTTTTTGGTTTATTGGAGTCTCACAGACTTTCCTGCCTGGGCTGACTTCGAACTGTGAGCCAGGATTACAGGTGTGAACCACCGGCATCCAGCAGGAATCATTTGATATGAATTACATAAGCAGATTTTCAACGAGCAAGCCGTCTTTGAACTACCATGGTAATAACTGCAGCTCAGTCGTGGTGTATCATTTCTTTAAAAAGTAAACTTACACAAATTAAAAAAAAAAAGGGGTCCAAGTGGTGGCAGGTCAAGGCCAAGAAACTAAACAAGTTTGATATGAATTCCACTGTCCGCGCCGGGCGCTGCAGCCTCGCTATGGCTTTCTGAGCCCTTGGCCACATTCCGTGCGCCACTTGCTCTTCTTTCTATGAATCAGCGCAACCAGGACCCACTGCACCGCGTGTCCTAAAGGTTAAAGCACTTCGGACTGGCCTGCCCCCTGCCCTGTGGACTAGCTGGGAGGTCTCTGCACCTCACCCCTTCTCCCTAGAGGCCAGCCTCTGGATCCTCCCCACCCAGAGAACAGGGTGTCACGGAAGGCTGCTGGAGGCCGGGCCTCCTCTCCTCTGTGCTCCAGCTGGACAGGAAGCACAGAGGGACCACATGTGGTCAGCAGGGAGCAAGGGTCAAGAAAGGCAGGGTGCCGGTAAGAGAGGGAGGGGCTGGGGCTGGCATTACACAACACATGGCAAGGTCTTGGGGGACAGGGGAAGAGGAGGGCAGCCAGGTGCCCAGGACACAGTCAAGGGCCCGAAGTAGGGAGAAGAGGCAGCAGCTCAGGGAGGGTCATCTGAAGGCCAGGGTCAGCACTGCTGCACCTCGCCCCTGCCCAGCCTACGCTGCAATCCCAAACATGAGGCCCACACCTGCGCCCCAACACTTACCCTGTTAAATCTGGCCTCTAAAGAGCGGGTGGGGGCAGCCCTGCCTTCCCCAGCTCCTAAGGCCGGAGGGTGGGGGGCTGGAAAGACCAATAGGGGGGCTCGGGGCACCTCTGAAGACTGAGGAGGGCCCAGGAATGGAAACCAAAAGGCCTGAAGGGTTTACTCTGTGAGCCCTGGGAGGGGGGAGACGCTGGCAGAGCAGGTGTCCACAGAAGGGGTGCAGGGAGGGAGCTGGGGGGCTGCCGTCGAGCTTCCCGTGGGGGGCGGGTGGCCTCCTCGAGGGTCCCGAGTGGCTGCAGTCCCGGTAGCCTTGGCGGTGGCGGTGGGGGTCGTTCACGCTGCGGTCCTCCAGGTCCCCCGCGGCACGGCCGGCTGCGGGCGCGGGCCCAGAGCGCTGCCCCCGCGGCGTGGCTTCTGCCCCAGCTCCGGGCTGTGTCTGTGCTGGGCCCGCAGGGGGCAGCGACGCGGGACACGAGGGCGCGGGAAGCTGGATGAGGAGCCCTCGTGGCCAGAGCTGCTGGGCTTCGGGTCCGTGTGCGTCAGTTCAGGGACCCAGGCTCAGAGCTCATCGGGGGCGCTGTGCGGCAGGGGCGACGCCTTCTGGATGCCTTCCTCCTCGTCCTCAGGGCCCGGGTCTCCCTCAAGGCTCCCCAGCTCCTTCCTCTGCTTGCTGCTGCTGCTCCTGCCGCCTGAGGCCTTGGCCCGGCTGCTCTTCTTTTTGGACTTCTTCCCTCCCAGGGCGGCTGTGTCGCCTTTCTTGCCGGACCACCGTTCTGCCAGGCAGCCTGGGGGAGGAGCAGGACAGGTGTGCAGCCCCCCTGTCTAGCCGTGGGAACACCAGCCCTCTCCATGCCCGGCCGATCCTCCCTGCCGCCAGAGGGCGCCATGCACCCCGCCCCGCCTCCCCGGCCCTCACTCACTGGTGTCCTTGCCCTTCAGCACGTGGTTAGCACAGAGAAATTCGGTCAGGTCCTTCTCCTGGTGGTTCCTGTACCAGTCCTCGATGACCTCCTCAAACTCTTCCACCAGCACGTCGCACTGTGGACCCAACACTGAGATTGGCAAAGCCAAGCCACCTCACCTGCCCAGGGAGCTGGGCTCAGCGTCGTGACCCGCTGTGATCCAGGCTGCGCTATAAACTGCCTGAGGAAACTGAGGCTCGAGGGGTGAAAGACACCAGTCACCAGCTCTTGGGAGCCTTCGGTGCGGCCCCGATCCCACCCCACCCCCACAGGTCACCCGCACCTTTTTTTTTTTTTTTTTTGCCACTCCTGGGGTTTGAACTCAGGGTCTGGGCACTGTCCCCGAGCTTCTTGGTTTTTTTGTTTTTGTTTTTTGTCAGTCGTGGGGCCTGAACTCTGGGCCTGGGCGCTGTCCCTCAGCTCTTCAGCTCAAGGTGATCACTCTACCACTTGAGCCACAGCACCACTTCTGGCTTTTTCTGCTTATGTGGTACTACAGAATCGAACCCAGGGCTTCATGCAGGCTAGGCAAGCACGCAACCACTAAGCCATATTCCTGGCCCTGTACCTGCTTCTTGAGGTCGGCTACCTCGGCGGACGTTTCGTTCCACAGCTCATAGGGGATGTCCATCACCACCTTGACCCCTTTGTGGACCAGATTGTGCAGCGTCTCAAAAGTCTCTGACATGCCCTGGAAGAAGTGATTCGAGATGGGAAAAGTAGCCACATCTACCAGATGGGTCTGAAGCCCTTGCTGTGACCTTCACCTGACCTTCTTCTCTCTTCTTTCGGGCTCTTTTTCATCATCTCTGCATACATGCTGACCTGCCTTTCTACCCTGGAACCTTTCAAAAAGATCTGCTAGGGCTGCAGGTATGGCTCCAGCCATAGAGCGCTTGCCTACATGCACAAGGCCCTGAATTCAACAGGGCACAACTATACCGTGTGTGTGTGTGTGTGTGTGCCCTCATGCCTGGGCACTGTCTCTGAGCTGCTTTTGCTCAAGGCTTAGAGCTCCACCACTTGAGCCACAGTGCCACCTCTGGCTGTTTGAGGAGTTTACTGGAGTTAAGAGTCTCACAGACTGCCGGGCGCTGGTGGCTCACGCCTGTAATCCTAGCTACTCAGGAGGCTGAGATCTGAGGATCTCGGTTCAAAGCCAGCCCGGGCAGGAGAGACCGTGAGACTCCTATCTCCAATAAACCACCAGAAAACCGGAAGTGGCACTGTAGCTCAAGTGGTAGAGCGCTCGCTTTGAGCTGAAGAGCTGAGGGACAGCGCCCAGGCCCAGAGTTCAAGCCCCACGACCGACCAAAAAAAAAAGAGTCTCACAGACTTTCCTGCACAGGCTGGCTTGGAACCATGATCCTCAGATTTCAGCCTCCTGAGTAGTAATGATTACAGCTATGAGCCACCAGCCTTTTTTTTTTTTTTTAATTACAAGCATGAAGCATCACACCTAGCCAGAAAAATGTTTTTGTTTTTTATTTTTCTTTTGTGCCAACACCGGCGGTTGAACTTAAGATTCTCAAGCTCTCACTTAGCTTTAGTGACTGGTGCTCTACTACTTGAGCCTCTAGTCTAACACTTGCTAAGATTACAAGTGTGAACTACCAGTACCCAGCTGAGGAAAACAGTTTTCAACATTTTTTTTTTGCCAGTCCTGGAGGCTTGAACTCAGGGCTGGGCACTGTCCCTGAGATTCTTTTGCTCAAGGCTAGCATCCTACCACATGAGTAACAGTGCCACTTCTGGCTTTGTGTATGTGGTACTAAGGAATTGAACGCAGGGCTTCACACATGCTAGGCAAGCACTCTACCATTAAGCCACCTTCCCAGCCATTTTCAACGCATTTTCTTAGAGCAAACATGGATTCATTAGCTAAATTTAAGTAAGTTTTAAAGACTTGTGCTGATGAAATCATCCCCTTTGGGATTTTAACCCAGGGGTTCTGCTGGAGCAGAACTTGGAGGGCAAATGTGGGCAGCCTGTCTTCCCGGGGGGGCTGTACCTACACCTACCATGCAGAGATAAGCAACACGAAACACACAACACACAGAGGGTTGGAAGTAGGCGGGGCCTCGTGTAGGCCTGAGGGAGGAATGGATTCCTCCCCTAGTTACCCCAGTTTTTTTTGGGGGGGGTCCAGTCCTGGGGCCTGAACTCTGGGTCTGGGCGCTGTCCCTCAGCTCTTCAGCTCAAGGCTAGCGCTCTACCACTTGAGCCACAGCGCCAATTCCGGCTTTTTTCTGCTTATGTGGTGCTGAGGAATCGAACGCAGGGCCTCATGCATGCAAGGCAAGTGCTCTACCACTGAGCCACCTTCCCAGCCCCAACCTCCACCCCAGTTCTTTCTGCACATCCTAGGCCTTACGGCGGTATCCTCACTGAGTGTTGCAGGCCTCTCTGGGAGCCGCCAGCCTGTCCCAGGCTGAGCCTGAGGTGGACCGTGCTGGGCAGGCCCAGCCAGGAGGAAGGTGCCTGATGACCACCGAACCATGCAAGTGTGGCTAAGACAAGAACAAAGGCTGCCCAGGGCTGGATCTGCAGAGCACACTCACAGCAGCAAGCACACCTATGCACACAGGCCTGGCCCCGGGGAGGAGGCACAGGCCCAAGCACAAGGCCAACCTTGGCAAAGCGATTGCTGCCAGTCCTCTCCTTATGCAGGCTGTAGTCCAGGAGCCGCTTGCAAATGGTCTCAGTGACTTCGATTAACCGTAAGTCCCTGCCAAGACAACGAAGAGGACCTGCAGTTCCTCTCCCCGCCCCGCGGTCAGCGTCCGCCCCGCCAGTCCTGCTGCCCAACACCTGCACATCTCACCAACAGAAAGTCAGAGCTGGAAGGAAGATAGGTCATCTGGTGAGGGGCTCTGAGAGACCAGAGAGACAGCACTGTAACAGCTCTACAGGAAGGATTTTTCGATGTTTATCTTTTGGCGGTGCTGGGGATTAAACCCAGGGCTGCGTGCTTGCCAGAAATGTGCTCTACCACGTCCTCTCGGCTTTGGTGCTGCACTAGAGCATGGCACTGTCACTTAGCTTTTACATTCAAGGTGGGCACTCTATCACTTGAATCAAAGCTCTACTTCTGGCTTTTTGGTCATTAGAGGTAAGATTCTCATGTTTTCCTGCCTGAGCTGGCTTTAAACCCTAATCTTCAGCTTCCCAAATAGCTGGGTTACAGGCACAAGCCACCTGCACTTGGCTCTTTCCATTCTTTTGATAAAGCAAACTATATCATTTTTTTCTTTTTTGGATGATCATGGGCCTTAAACTCAGGGCGTGGGTGCTGTCTCTGAGTTTTTTCACTCAAAACTAGTGCTCTATCATTTTGAGCCACAGTGCTACTTCCAGTTTTCCAGTGGTTAACTAGAGATAAGAGTCCCTTGGACTTTTCTGCCTGGGCTGGCTTTGAACTGTGATCCTCACATCTCAAGTCTCCTGAGTAGCTAGAATTACAAGAGTGAGATACCAGTATCCTACCAGTACCTGGCTGTGTTTTTTGGTAGTTGTTGTTGTTTTGTTTTTGTTTTCGACAGTCCTGGGGCTTGAACTCTGGCCCTGGGCACTGGCCCTGAGCTTCTTTCGCTCAAAGTGAATGCTCTACCACTTGAGTCACAGTGCCACTTCCAGCTTTTTCTGAGTAGTTTATTGGAGATAGAGGTTCACAGATTTTCTTGCCATGCTGACTTCAAACCAGGATCCTTGATTTCAGCCTCCTAAATAGTTTGGATTACAGGCATGAGCCACCAATACCCAGCTTTGTGTTTTTTTTGTTGTTGTTGTTGGTTGTGGAGCCTGAACTCTGGGTCTGGGTGCTGTCCTCAGCTCTTCAGCTCAAGGCTAGCGCTCTACCACTTGAGCCACAGTTCTATTTCTGGCTTTTTCTGCTTGTGTGGTACTAAGGAATGGAACCCAGGGCCTCATGCATGCAAGGCAAGCACTCTACCACTGAGCCACCTTCCCAGCCCTTTGTTTTTGTTTGTAAAGATAAAGTCTCACTATGTAGTCCAGGATGGCCTGGACATGATTGTCCTGCCTCAGCCTACCGAGTGCTGGGATTATAGGTGTATACCACTACTCTCAGCCAAACTATGTTACATTTTGATAGTAAAATATAACTTCATTTTGAAAGATTGATCACAGCTGACAGTTGTAGTTACATGTATAGGTGGCAAAATAAAAAGTCAATAATCCTGACTTTTTTTGTTTATTTTGTTGGTGCAGGGGTTTGAACTCTGGGCCTCACACTCGCTAGGAAGGTACTCTACCAGCTGGGTGCTTCCCTCTCAGCATGACTCAAGTCATGCCTTCGGCAATTTTTTTCTTTTAAGTAAATTACACCGGTCCTTACAATCCTAGTGTCCCATCAGTTATGCTTTTCCAGATGAGGAATCTGAAGCCTGGAGCAATTAAGGAATTTATGAAGGTTATTGTATCTGTTCGGGACAGAATTGTGGGTACACTTGGGTCTCTGTTAAGAGTTGACTCCCTGGTGGGTGGTGGGTTAGGCTAGATGGAAGAGAAAAGGAAATGGCAAGCTCCCCATTCTCCCAAGGATGAAGCAGGCCAGGCCACGCCCCCGTGCACTTACGACTTGGTATATTTGACTCCAGAGGCCTTGCGGTCCAGAATGCCATAGCCGGTGTCGATCACCTCCTTCTTCTTGCCGGTTTCCTCAAAGGCTGACTTCAGCTCCACGGCGACATATTTACACACTGGCGGAGGGAGACGGAGCGCAGCACCACTGAGTGCACAGGAGCCTCTGGGGGGAGGTGTGGAGCAACCAGACCCGGTGGCTGTCCTACCCTTGGCCAAGTCAGCACAGGCCACCAAGTGGAGTTCTCCACAGGAAACTGGCTCCACGGTCCACTGGTTCTCGCCCACCCTTTCCTCTTCCATTGCTGACTGCATTCCCACCACATCCCTCATACCCATTGTTTAAAAAAAAAGAAAAGCCGAATGCAGTGGCTCACACTATTACATGAGCTCCTCAGGATTCTCAGGCAAAAGAACTTCATGGTAGCAAGACAGAGGCAGGAAGATTCCAAGTTTTAGGTGAGCTCAAGCAAAGTTATAAAAGGCCACTGGGTGCCAGTGGCTCACGCCTATAATTCTAGCTACTCAAAAGGCTGAGAGCTGAGGATCAAGGTTCGAAGCCAACCCAGGCAGGAAAGTCCATGAAACTCTTATCTCCAATTAACCACCAGAAAACTGGAAGTGGCGCTGTGGCTCAAGTGGTAGAGCACTAGCCTTGAGCTGAAGAGCTCAGGGATAGCGTCCAGGCCCAGAGTTCAAGCCTCATAACCACCACCACCACCAACAACAACAACAATGTTACGAAAGACCAAAAAGAAAAACAAAAGCAAAAGGGCCAGGGCTGGGAAGGATGCTCAGTGGTAGAGTGCTTGCCTTGCATGCATGAGGCCCTAGGTTCCATTCCTCAGCACCACATAAGCAGAAAAAGCCGAAGTGGCGCTATGGCTCAAGTGGTAGAGCTCTAGCCTTAAGCTGAAGAGCTGAGGGATAGCGCCCAAGCCCAGAGTTCAAGCCCCACAACCACCACCACCACCACCAACAAAAAGGGCCAGAATAAAACAAAAGGGCTGAGTGGGCAGCCAAAGTCTCCAATGGAGAATACTTGCCTAGCATGCACCAGTTCCTGGGTTCAATCCCCAGTACTGCAAAACGAACAACCATGTGTAGCACAGGTAGAGCCCTAGGTTGGATCCTCAGCCCCACACATGTGCACACACAAGTACTGTCACACATACATTAAAGCTGAAAGAGTACAGTGACTCACTAAACCCTCTGCTTGTACTCAACAGCTAATAGTCTGCCCCAGTCTCCAACGTGGACTATATAATAGAACAGTTCCACAGGACGTGGAACAGTGTTTCTGCAAACCACGTGGAAAGTCGCAAATATGACCTTTCACCTATAATGCAGCATCCCATCTCTCAAGAACATGGGCCTTTTACATAATGAGGATACTTGGAAAATTAACAATAATCTCAACATCATGTAATGGTCCATATGAAAACTTCTCTAATCATTCCCAAATCTCTTTTTTTTTTGGCTGTTGTATGATTGTAATTCATGTGTTCCAACACCAGTGCTACATTGTTGCCGAGTTAATTTGCTCCGTTCACTCTATCCAAGTCTTGTTCTTCCTGTTTCAGAACTGTAATTTTCTCATTTCCTCCTACCCTTCCTCAAACTGTTATTAAGCAATTGAGTGTCAGGCACTGCCTGGGGATACAGGGATGAACACAATCACCTCCAATCCACAGTGCAGAAAGCAGGGGCAAACCACGGAAGTGCCTAAACGCTGGGAAAGTGGTTAACGCCCTCTAGAGGCTTCTTGGAGCAGTCTCCAGACATCTTACTAAAACCTCTCCCAGGAAGCCCTTCTGGACGAACTCCACCTTCTCTTGATTTCACCTAGAGCCTCCATACAGTCCATTTTCTCTAAGGGCCTTCCTCATCTGTTTTTCCACTGAGACGACCAGGGTCCCCAAGTGTGCATTATGCATTGGGTTTCTTCTGCAGTGCCCTACTCGGAAACTGTCTATGTTGGGTACTGACAGCGGCAGTGCTGGTGGGTAAGCTGTCTCTGCTGCCTCCCAACGGAATCCTTCCTACAGACTCTGTGCCATCTGCACGGTAAGAGCACTGACAGCAGAGTTTGGTTGAAAACCAGTTTACCACAAAAATAAATATATCCCCTGAGGGCTTGCTTGGTGCAATTTTATAGCAAGTATGCCCACAGATGGCTTGGAGAACTTGGAACACACAAAATGTCCAAATGAGTTAGCTGGTGATCTCAGAGTCTGCAATGCACTGAGATCATCTCACCTCCCTGGCTCTCCATCCAGACCAGCTGGATTCCCTCCCCTGTCCTGTCCTGTCCCAAGCAAGCTCAGCATTTTTCTGGCTCCTGTGCCCCTTGCTCCCAAGCTCCATACTGAAAGGGAGATGGGAAACATCTCATTCTCTACCCATCAACCACAGCCTGCTTCCCAGCATTCCGTACTCCAGACACCCTGAGATTCTTCCCAGAAGCACACTTGGAGAAAAGTCATGGCACAGACCCCAGACTCACAGACATCCATACACCTACTCTCGCTTGCTGGGCGGGCAGGTTCTCCTTCCTCTGTGCCAAGGCCTGTCCTGCTCAGGCAACTGAGCCTGAAGGCAGGCTTTGTGGGCCAGATACAGTCAGCATTTCATAACAAAGGTGTTGTAATAACAAATAAAAAGAAGTACAGTAGTTAGAGGAACCTAATGGTTGGAGTTTGCCAAGTGATCCTAGGTTAGGCTAGAATGATCTGGCTAGCTCTAAGCTTCTCAGTCTGTGAATGTCCTCTAGCAGAATAAGAGCTTGTTAGGTTGAGATTAGAAGAGAAACAGTAGGGATTCTTTGTCATCAAAACAGAATAGAAAACAGAAAGAAAGAATGGAAGAAAAGCATGCTGCTACAGCGAGAGCTCAAGCAGGTGTCCTGCCAGTGAGCCAAGCTATCTCTGGGCTTCTCCTTGCTTTAATCCCTCAAATGGGAGGATTATGCATCTCAAACCACCTGACCCCACTTCCAGTGCTTAGGGAACATCTGGCCTGGTGCAGGCTTCTGATGAAAACAGCTTTACAACCAAACTTGTCTGGGGCCAGCAGTTAGGGATGGGGAGAAAGGGGTGACTGTAAAGATCTGAAGAGGTGCTGAGAGATGGAGGGCAGGAAAAAGGAAGGCCCAGCTGCCATTAAGAAATGTGTTGACGGGGCTGGGAAGGTGGCTCAGTGGTAGAGTGCTTGCCTTGCATACCTGAGGCCCTAGGTTCGAGTCCTCAGCACCACATAAGCAGAAAAAGCTAGAAGTGGTTCTATGGCTCAGGTGGTAGAGCGCTAGCCTTGAGCTGAAGAGCTGAGGGACAGTGCCCAGGCCCAGAGTTCAGGCACCATGACTGGCAAAAAAAGAAAAAAAAAAAAAAGAAATGTGTTGAGGCCGGGCGCTGGTGGCTCACGCCTGTAATCCTAGCTACTCAGGAGGCTGAGATCTGAGGATTTCGGTTCAAAGCCAGATCGGGCAGGAAACTCTGTGAGACTCTATCTGCAATAAACCACTAGAAAACCGGAAATGGTGCTGTGGCTCTAGCAGTAGAGCACTGGTCTTGAGCTGAAGAGCTGAGGGACAGCGCCCAGGCCCAGAGTTCAAGCCCCACAACCGACAAAAAAAAAAAAAAAAAGGGTTGAAGCTGGGCGCCAGTGGCTCACACCTGTAATCCTGCTACTCAGGAGGTTGAAATCTGAGGATCGATGTTCAAAGCCAGCCTGGGCAAAAAGTCTATGAGATTCTTATTTTTTTTTTTTTGTCGGTCATGGGGCCTGAACTCTGGGCCTGGGCGCTGTCCCTCAGCTCTTCAGCTCAAGGCAAGCACTCTACCACTTGAGCCACAGTGCCACTTCCAGCTTTTTCTACTTATGTGGTGCTGAGGAATGGAACTGAGGGTCTCATGCATGCAAGGCAAGCACTCTACCATTGAGCCACCTTCCCAGCCCCTGTGAGATTCTTATCTCCAGTTAACCACCAGAAAATGAGAAGTGGCGCTGTGGCTCAAGTGGTAGAGTACCAGCATAAAGCTGAAGAGCTGAGGGACAGCGCCCAGGCCCAGAGTTCAAGCCCCATGACTGACAAAAAGAAAAAAGAAATGTGTTAAGGGGCTGGAAATGTAGCTTAGTGGTAGAGTGCTTGCCTAGCGTGCACGAAGCCATAGGTTCCACTCCTTAGTACCACATAATCAGAAAAAGCCAGAAGTGGCGCTGTAGCTCAAGTGGTAAAGCACTAGCCTTGAGCAAAAGAAGCTCAGGGACAGTGCCCACGCTCCAAGTTCAAGTCCCAGGACTGGAAAAACAAACAAAGTAGGCTCCAAGCTAGAATCCCTGGACAAATCACTCTCTTCCTGTGAAGTTTTATGGGGACTCGCTCTTTCTCCATATTTTTTTTAATTTTTATTTATTTTCTTTTTGTGTTTGCACTAGAGCTTGAACTCAGAGCCCCATAACTGGTGCTCTACCAGCTGAGCCACATCTCTATTTCCAGACTCTTGCTGGTTAGTTGGAGATAAGAGTCTTGTGGATTTGTATGCCTGAGCTGGCTTGGAACTTTGATCCTCCCATCTCAGCCTCCTATGGAGCTAGGATTATAGGTGTAAGCCACAGCGTCCCACGCCTTTCTCCTTATTTCTAAAATCTCCCTTCCTCACCAAGTTCCTCCCTGGCTCTATTCTTCCCTCAAAGTGTCCTGCTTCTTAGGCCTCAGACCCTTCTCCACACCCACCCCATTTAATTGCACCCCCACCCCCAATTTAATATATGTATTTCAAGAGCATTTTCTGGTCTCCAGTATTCGCTGTGTGAATATTTGAGATGAGGTCCCTTTCCTCAAAGAGCAACAGACAACTACTCAGATTAGGTAGAGGGGGCACAAGGGAGGAGGCACACCTCAGGTTCTTCCCCGCCCCCCCCCCCACGCACACACAGACCAGTCATATCGATCTTTCAGTTCCTCAAATTTGTCCTTTGCTCCTTAGCCCACAGGCCTGGGCCTCAACGTCTGTGACTTCCTTCCTGGGGACCCCTTTCCACTTCTCTCCAGCTAAATCCTAAGGGCACCGCAGACTCCTTAAAGAAGCCTTCCCTGACGCCCCTCTGCCCAGCTTCCAGTCTAGATTGGGAGATCCTCAGCCTGCCCCCAAAGTCCTCCCCGACCACGGCGATCCCTCGCACACCCCTGAGTCCCGGAGCCCGCCACGGTGCCGAGCACACAGTAGGTTCACAGGACTCCAGCTCCAGAGCCCCGGCCCTTCCCTCCGCCGCCCCGCCCAGGCCCCGCCCCCGGCGGGAGGCGCCCGCGGCCCCGCCCCCTCACCTTCGCACTTGCTTGGTAGTCGTACCCAGTCGGTCTCCTCGGCCCGGGCCTGGCTCAGGCCCAGCTCCGAGGCCGGCAGTGACAGCAGCAGCACGGGGAGAAGCAGGAGACGACGGGACGAGGGCTTCGGCAACGACTCCATGGCCAGCCGGACCCGAGCCGGACGGACCGGGAGGCGCTTCCTGCAGCGGCGCGCACGCAGCACCTTCCCCTAGCCGCTTCCGGGAATGCACACGTGCCTCCGCGTATCCACGGCGACCGCGAGCTCCTTGCCCGCCCCCTTCGCCCCTCCGCGCGTCTTCAAAGCAGACGATGCAGCCAATGAGCTTTCTCGGGGTTTGTCTTCCAGCGAATGGGAAGACGAGCTGTTCTTGGTCTCGACCAATAAGAGAGCAGATGGTGTCTAGAGCGACCTATGGCGATGTCTCTTCCCACCTCCTAACGGAGGCTCTGGGAGAGGTTGGCGGGTCAGGATCTGAGGATGGAACCCTTTGCCCTAAGGAACAGTGGCTCTGGAAGAGGAGGGCCTTCCATTGCATCCTTCAACATTCTGTTCTGGGGTCTTAAAGCTGCAAACCCTTAATGAACGCCTGCTTTAAGTGTGTGTGTGTGTGTGTGTGTGTGTGCGCGCGCGCGCGCGCCGGTCCGGGAGCTCGAACTTAATGCCTGGGCACTGTCCTTGGGCTTTTTTGCCCAAACCGGGTATCTACCACTGGAGCTACACCTCTCCTTTCAGCTTTTTGGTAGTTAATTGGAGATAAGAGTCTCACGGATTTATCTGCCTGGGCTGGCTTCAAACTGCGATCCTCAGATCTCAGCCTCCTGAGTAGCTAGGGTTACAGGTGTGAGCCACCAGCTCCTGGCTGAGATTGGATATCTTTACTGCTTTCTGAAGACATCAAAGGTGTGAGGCCATTTTCTGATGTAAGCCTAAAGCAATTGTGTTGGTAACGAGACACTTTTGCAAGGCTGCGGCATTGGAATCACACTGTACACAGGATAGGGACTTCTAAATGTTCTGCTCTCTCTTGGGTCCAGGAGATTTAGGGAGGTTTGGAGCCTAGCTATGACTCTTCATTTAGGTAGGCCTGGAAGTCCTCCTGGAAGATGATATTAAGCTAGCCATGGTGAGATGGAGGGGTTGGGGCAGGGCAGGGCCAAGTTGGGACAAGATGAGAAGGGTTGAAGCGAAGAGAAGCTTCGCTTTAGAATGGACAAGGAGCCAAGGAGAGGACATTTATGGAGGTTAGTTTTGGGTGAAAGCATGGGCTCAACATCTGGGCTGAGAGCTGGGAAGGGACAATGTCTGCAGAAAATTTGAGTTGACAGCTGGAGCCCTCTCCTCAGGCTGTGTGTCAGGGAAGGAGAGGTCCTGGGGGATGGTGGGTGGCTTCATCCCCAGAAGCTGTGGTCTTCTTCACACCTTACTCCTTGAAAAAATCCTCCAAAGAGGCAGGCACCTCCTTGCTGGCTGCTGATTGACAAGGAGTGGAAGAGACAATGAGGTCTTCATGGGACAGAGTCTAAGGGTGCCCAGAAGCTGGATGTCTTTGACAACATCTCTAAGACAGATTCCCCCCCCCCCACCTTGGAGAGAGGAAGACTAAGGGAAGGTCATTGATCAGTCAGCTGTCCAGTGGTGCCCAAGGGACATCTGGATTCACATGACAGATCCAATTAAAGAATAGGGTAAATGCCAGAGAGGAACCCCCAGGAAAAGCTGGCATTCCTGCTATCACTGGGGACAGAGGGGACTTACAGGTCATACTTTAATGTTCCAGTGTGGGAACCTCAGCCAGGCACCAGTGGCTCATGCTTCTAATCCTAGCTACTCAGGAGGCTGGAATTGGAGGATCATGGTTTGAAGCCAGCCCAGGGAGGAAAGTCCATGAGACTATCTCCAATGAACTACTCAGAAAAAGCCAGAAGTGGCACTGTGGCTCAAGTGGTGGAGCGCTAGCTTTGAACACAAAAACTCAGAACAGTGCTCAGGCCCAGAATTCAAGCCCTGGAATCAGCAAAACAAACAAACCACTGTGGGAATCTCATGTTGTATCAGGGCAAGAATCCTCTTTAGGAAACAAAGGAAAACCAAAAAGGTCAAACTTCTTACATACCTGGCTTCTAGTTGATGTTGAATATCTGTCAAATAAATAATGACCCCTAATTGATTAATAATATGTATATTTGGAATTACCTTCCCAGGCTCAACACGACATGATCTTATTCCCTGGGAATCCTGGCCCTGTTCATTTCAGTCGAGTCTGTACGAGACTCTAAACCCAGCACCACCTCCCTCAGGCCCTGGGCTCCTTGCCCTGCCATCTCACAGAGCTTGAGCCGGGGGAAGAAGACAGAAGGGCTTTGCCAGGTTCGTGAATGTAGGGGTGGGAGACAGAGACTGAGTTTCCTTTCCAACCTCCAGCTCCACTCTGCAATTGCCAGGTTCTCACTCTTAGGAAGCCTCTTTTTCAAGGGAGCCCTCCCAGATTTCTGCTTTGTCTCACTTAACTGGCCAACCCTGCCCTCACTCAGGGAAGAAGGGAATTAAGATATTTTTCATTTGGGGCTGGGAAGTTGGCTCAGTGGTAGAGCGCTTGTCTTGCATGCCTGAGGCCCTGGGTTCGATTCCTCAGCACCACATAAGCAAAAAGAAAAAAAGCCGGAAGTGGCGCTGTGGCTCAAGTGGTAGAGCAGTAGCCTTGAGCTAAAGAGCTGAGGGACAGCGCTCAGGCCCAGAGTTTAGGCCCCACGACTGGACCCAAAAAAAAAAAGATATTTTTCATTTGTTTGTATCATAAAAACTATTCTTTAATTGGACTCAATTATCTATAGCTAAAATGTCCCTGAAGGATCTGGAGCTCCCAGTGTGACCTAAAAGACACAGTCCCTCCCCTCTTTTTCCCTCCCCTCTAAACCTTTCAGTCTGAAGAGGGAGGCAGAGCCAAGCCCCGGGAAGAGGGCACATGTAGAAAACACACCAGCAGCTCTGAGAAAGGAATACTGAAGTTGGAAATGGATGAGTGGATGGCTGGCTGGTTGGCTGGCTGGCTGGCTGGATGGATGGTTGGTTGGATAGATAGATGGATGGATGGATGGATGGTTGGTTGGTTGTTTGGGTGGTTGGATGGATGGATGGATGGATGGATGAATGGTTGGATAGATGGATGGATGGATGGATGGATGGTTGAATAGATGGTTGGATGGATGGATGGGATGGTTGGTTGGATGGATGGATGGTTGGTTGGATGGATGGATGGTTGGATATATGGACAGATGGATGTTTGGATGGATGGATGGTTGGATAGATGGATGGATGGTTGGATGGATGGATGGATGGTGGGATATATGGACAGATGGATGGTTGGGTAGATGGATGGATGTTTGGACAGATGGCTGGTTGGATGGATGGATGGTTGGATAGATGGATGGATGGATGGATGGATGGTTGGATGGATGGAGAGTACTCAGCCAGCTGGGAGAGCAGAACACGTCTCCTCCTCTTTACTCAGGTTCCTGCCCTCTGGATCCACATGGCAAGGTCCATCCCTGGGGATCAGTGTGGGCCTGGGGGAGCTCAGGGTGCTGGGTATCTCCGTTGCTGTGGCCAGGTGAGATGAGTGGTCTTGAGGGGCGTGAGTGCGGGCGGGGCAGGAGCAGGATGTGGCAGGTCAGCAGCACATCAGTTAGCAGCAGCTTGCAAAACAGCAGCCTCAAGGCCCCCAGACACAGGGCCTGGCTTCGTGTCCCTGCCCAAAGAAAAGCCAGTGAGGAGTCCTAGAAACCTCAAACAGAGCCTCTAACCCCACCCCCACCCCCAAACAGGGCAGAGAGGGGCGTGTCTTCTGTGCTGGCTTGCCATTCGCTCTTTTCCCTCCTTCAGGAAAAGCGCTTCTTGGTATTTAACCTTGTGTGTGTGTGTGCTCACAAATCAATAATAGCTATAGCTCACAATTATATATATATATATATATATATATATATATGCACACACACACACACACACACACACACATATATAATGTTTATTTTTAGAGACAGGATCTGACTGAGCTGCCTAGGCTGGCCTCAAACTCTCCGTCCTCCTACCTCAGCCTCTCCAGTGCTGGGATTAAAGGTATGGTACATTGCCTGACTACAAAATTCTTTTTTTTGTTGTTGTTGGTCATGAGGCTTGAACTCTGGGCCTGGGCGCTGCCCCTCAGCTCTTCAGCTCAAGGCAAGCACTCTACCACTTGAACTACAGCGCCACTTCCGGTTTTCTGGTGGTTTATTGGAGATAGGAGTCTCACGGTCTCTCCTGCCCGGGCTGGCTTTGAACCGCTATCCTCAGATCTCAGCCTCCTGAGTAGCTAGGATTACAGGTGTGAGCCACCAGCGCCCAGCCTGACTACAAAATTCTTTGTGTTCAAGAAGGAAATCCAAGCCAGGTGCTGGTGGCTCATGCTTGTCATCTTAGCTACTCAGGAGTCTGAGATCTGAGGATCGAAGTTCAAAGCCAGCCCAGGCAGAAAAAAATCCCTGAGACTCTTATCTCCAACTACCAGAAAACCACAAGTAGCACTATGACATAAAATGGTAGGGTCCTAGCCTTGGGCAAAAGAGCTCAGGGACAGCCCCCAGCCCTGAGTTCAAGTCCCATGACCAACCCCCGCCCCCCAAAAAAATCCAAGGCTCTTTCCAGCACCCCAGCCTCCCTTTTCCGCAGGCCTGGCTCACGTGACCTGCCGGGGGGGGGGGGAAACACATCCTCATCCTTCCTCGGGCTCCCACCTGTGCTTCTCAACTGATCTCCAGAATTACATTGGGATCAAAGGATCCGCCCTCTTCTTATCCCAGGGTAGACTGAGGCTCAGGCTAGCCAGCACCCAACCTAGCAAGGCAGCCTCTCCTCACCACTAGCACCTCCCCCCCCCAAACCCTGCCCTGGTGGGACTCAGAAGAGCGGAGCTTAAATGCCCCACCCTGCAGGTCCAGGACCGATCCCCAGCCTCTTTTTCCCAGCATGCTCCACATACTCACCCCTGAGAGTGCTGTAGACGCAGCGCCTGGCTGGGGAAGCTGCTCCTGCCAGCCAAGGAGAAGGGTGTGAGTTCGTGAGGATTGGTGTGCACCCCGGGGGTGCAGGGTCAGGTGCTACCCCCTTCCCCAGTCTATCTATAACCTGACAAGGGGCAACTCTCGGAGTGGACAGACACCGGCCAGCAGGGGAACCCC